TGGAAGGACAGATCGTGAAGCTGAGGCTCCAATACTTTGGCCACCTTATGAGAAGAGAAGACTCCCTGGAAAAGACCCTGATGTTGGGAAAGATGGAGGGCACAAGGAGAAGGGGCCGACAGAGGACGAGATGGTTGGATAGTGTTCTCAAAGCTACCAGCATGAGTTTAACCAAACTGCGGGAGGCAGTGGAAGACAGAAGTGCCTGGCGTGCTTTGGTCCATGGGGTCATGAAGAGTTGGACACGACTAAACAACAACAAGGCACTATAAGAGCTCAACATGAATATGCATGGTGGTGGGGAGTGCCGTGGTGGTGGTCCTACATGTAGGGTCTTCAGGAAAATCCTTATACCAAGTCAGAGTGTTGGTCCATCTCACTCAGTTGCGTCTTCAGGCTTCAGCCAGTGGTCCTTCTGCATCTTACCTGGAGATGCTGAGGACTGAACATAGGACCTGTTGCATGTAAGGCGTGGTTGGTGACCTACAGCCCTTCCCCAAATGAGATATACATACGTAAGCCTGATCAGTAATTCTAAGGGCCAAACTAGATGTGACATAGAAGAAAACATGAAGTGTCTTCTGATTGCCAAGAAGACACTTAATATGGTTGTAGGAACAGGGTGTATGCTTAACTAGTTTATCCAAAACTCACCTTCCTCAAGATGCTTTCCTCCAAACAGGGAAGGAGATATACAAGGTGTGACCAAAAAGTTTGGTGAATGGTCACAGAAATCAAACAGCGAGAAATATTCAAACATGCATACCTTACAGGCCTCCCTCTGATACAATGCACCATTGACAATGTTCGTAGAACTGTTGGAAGCTTCTGGATAAGTCCTCTTTTCGTATTGCTTTCAGTTCCCTCGACACAGCAGCTTGGACGTGCGAAATGTTGGAAAATCTGTGCCCTTTCAACGCAGATTTCAGTTTTGGAATGACCGCTCCCCACATCAAATGGGGGTGCCTTTTGTGTGGTCGCGCGCAGCCCCCTGGATCCCAGTGTGTCTCCTGGTAGTTTGGGCTGGCTTCATCCTCCCAGGCTGAATACCTGGAGGTCTCTGCCTACCTCAGCCAATTGCCCAATCCCGCCTGGGGAGGCGTTGCCAGGGGATTGGCCAGGTAAGGGGAGGGACCGTCCTGCCCACAGAAGGTGAATCTTACCTGCAAAGTGGCAGTCAGCTCCAGAGCTTCTCCCACCCTCCCCTAAATCCAGTGGGGCCAGATCGGGAGAATATGGAGGGTTGGACAACTCAGTAACCTCAGTAACGATTTCACACAGAATATGCAATTCTTCCGCCATCATTCGGATGGACAAACGCCAATCCTGCATCAATAACTCACGAACTTGGTTGACATTTGACACTGTTCTGCTCATCGATGGTCTGCCAGACCAAGGGTCATCTTTGATGGTTTGCCGCCCTTCATGGAATGCTTAAACCACTCATACACCATCTTTCGAGTTACAGCTTCATCTCCCTACACAATTGTGAGCATTTCATGGGTTTCTGATGCCGACTGTACATTCGGATATTTCTCATTGTCCAATTTCTGTGACCATTCACCGAACTTTCTGGTCACACCTTGCATATGCGTAAGTGTGTATATGTGTTTGTATGTGACATTTATGGTCAGACTACTTTATTCCTTCAACGTTCAACCTTCCTTCTTTCTATTTAATTGGATCCCTAGTCTAAGTGCTGCGTCACAAAAACCAGAATAAACTGTAACTGGCCCTGGGTTCCTGCTGTAGCCACTGCTTGAGATGCTTCTGCTGCCGGCCTCTCTGCTGATCACATGCAATTTGTCTGATTTATGCCAGTTGCCTCCTTTCCTTGGCATGCATTCCCAGCATGCGACTGTTTTGCTAGCTCCTTTGCCAAGTGTGTGGCTTGCTGCAATAACACATTTACTGACAAATTAATATTTTCTCTTGGCTCGAGTCTTATGTTTATTTTGTTCAGCACGTCAGTTTCCCATTCACAGAGCTGTCGTATTCCTAATCAATTGACTTCCAATTGTGAATTTTGCACAGATTTAAAGAGGCAAGGGGTGGGCAGGAGAAAGCATGAATACTAAAGTAGAAGGGTTAATGCCATGTGGAGTTTCCCCCACGCTTCCTATCCTGGATAGTCAAAAATTTCCAACCTTCTGGCTGATACTTTATTAGCTTTCTTCAAATGGCTTACTCTTAAGTGTGTGAGGGATGAAATGCTCTGGCAATTTGATATTATTTTTGCCACTTTTCTGTAATCAACGTCTTTCAGTGATCTCAGTATTTCTCTTGGAGGTTCTTTCTGCATGTAGACACATCAAAGGATATAGCTATTCTCACACCCTCAATAGATAATTGTTGGAGAGCAGCATGAAGAGGAAGAAAAAGATCCCTGCAGCTGCTTACCGTGATTGCATTGCTTTTATTGCACCATTTCAGTAATTCAGCAGGCTTCTACACACAAAGAACTTAACTCCAGGAACACACAGTAGGTTACCTATGATTGTGCAGTTTTAGAAGGTCTAGAGTATACAAGCCTAACTAGATAATATAGAACCAATGTGGCATAGTGGTTAGAGCAGGAGTAGGCAACCTAAGGTCCGTGGGCCGGATCCGGCCCAATCGCCTTCTCAATCTGGCCCACAGACGGTCCGGGAATCAGCATGTTTTTACATGAGTAGAATGTGTCCTTTTATTTAAAATGAATCCCTGGGTTATTTGTGGGGCGTAGGAATTCGTTCACCCCCCAAAAAAATATAGTCCAGCCTTCCACATGGTCTGAGGGACAGTGGACCAGCCCCCTGCTGAAAAAGGTTGCTGACCCCTGGATTAGAGTGTCAGACTAGGACCGGGGAGACCAGGGTTCAATCTCCCATTCGGCTACAAAACTCCCTGCTTGACTTTTGGCCTGTCATTGCTCTCAGCCTAACCTACACCACAGGGTGGTTGTGGGGATAAAATGAGGAGGAAGAAAACCATGTAAGCTACCTTGAGCTCCTTGGAGGAACAGATGCACCAGAAATGCAATCATTAAATGATATAATTTATCCATTTGATCAAGAATTACTCGTGGTTAGAGCAGCCCCACTGAACTCAACCAAATGGTGTCTGCCTGCCAATGGAATAGGCACCCACACAATGGGGCTTTCCTCTCCTCAGCTGTACTCATGTGCCCCCAAAAATTGCTCCAGAGGATTGTCCCATCGCATGAGAGGAATTCCGCTAGTGTGACATTGGAATGGAAGTCATTGAATGGGATTCCAGTTAGTCATGGCTGGACTAACTTTGGTCTATTCCAAAGAGAATAAGTATGACTCCAAACCAATACCCTTAAGCGCCCTGATTCAGAAATAGGTTTCTGTGCTTCCACCATGGACCTTGACTGGTATCTCCACAGATAATGGGGCATTGTGTGGTAAAGAATGACAACAACAATAATAGTCAGGATAATAATAATAATAATAATAATAATAATAATAATAATAATAATTTATACTCTACCCATCTGGCTGGGTTTCTCCAGCCACTCTGGGTGGCTCCCAACAGAATACTAAAAACATGATAAAAGATCAAACATTAAAAACTTCCCTAAACAGGGCTGCTTTCAGATGTCTTCTAAAAGTGAGATAGCTGTTTATTTCCTTGACATCTGATGGGAGGGCATTCCACAGGGTGGGTGCCACCACCAAGAAGCTCCTCTGCCTGGTTCCCTGTAACCTCACTTTTCACAGTGAGGGAACCGCCAGAAGGCCCTCGGAGCTGGACCTCAGTGTCTAGGCTGAATGATGGGGGTGGAGACGCTCCTTCCGGTAGACTGGGCCGAGGCCATTTAGAGCTTTCTTAGGTCAGCACCAACACTTTGAATTGTGCTCGGAAACGTACTGGGAGCCAATGTAGATATTTCAGGACTGGTGCTATATGGATCTATTTTCCATGTGTGTGTTCCACATGTACAGGGTCCACACTGCAAGGTCCTACGGCTTTCCAAACAGCTTCTCCTGGAGGTTGGAGAACCCTCTAGAGTAGCATCCATTCTCATATGGTGGTGTTGTGGCTGGAAAGAAGAATTGGCAAATGTGGAGCTCAACCTACAATAATTATAATAATTATCCCAGGAGACAGTAAACTATAGTTCTGTGCATCTGGCATGAAACAATAGTCCTGAGCCTCTGCAGGAGAAGCCATGACTTGAGCATAATTGATAGTGACAAAACTCTTCTGTTCCAGCAAACCTTCTCAATTTCTGGTTCTAACCTTCCATTCCTTCTTAAGGGTATGTTTGTTTGATAACTGGCTGGTTGATAAGAGCCTATTAACAGCTAAATCCAGATTTGGAGAGGGTTTGGTTTCAGCTGTTATTTTAGGACTGATTCCTGCACTGGGACTGTTAACATTTTCTGAATCTCCCAATCCAGAGATTTGCAGTTGTCTCCCTTTATAAGCCATTCATAGACTTTGGGAAGTTGGGTCAAAAGTTGCCTTGGACACCAGAAAGAGTTCAGGTGTGGCAAGCCTTTTAGAAGATAAGTATTTTTCAGAATGTGGTAAATGGAGGTATTTTTACAAGATGCTTCTACCTTTTGACTATTTAGGGAAAGTGACAGCTTTTGGTGTCTTTTTCAGCTCATATTTAAGGAAAGTAAGTGAAGGAATGAATGAACATGCTTGTGGAAATTGTCCATCATTTGAACCCTGTTAGAAGCTATGGTTACTTAGCGCTACTTTGGAGAGAAGTCTGGATGCCTAGTTGTTCGTGGAAGAAAAGAAAAGATCACAGAAAGGTCAGTGAAAAAAATATTATTGGGGGAAACCTACTAATTAATGCTGCAGGCACAACGGCAGAAAATTATTAGCATCTACACAACAAATACAAGCAGATCAACAAGGTAGCATTTTGCCTTAGGTGTTTGCAATAGCATTATCAACAGAATAATCAATACTTCTTATTTTGAAACATGCTTTTTGTTTAATTTGTCACTACATGCAGTTAGTCTGTAATGATGAAAGGGCAATAATCCAGTAATAACAACATGGCAGTGCTAACAAAAATCAATAGACTAAATTCACATTTCCTGCAGTAGGGTACCAAACTGCAAACCTGCAGGCGCTAATATGCTAATGTTACTCCCAGTATAGTAACTAGTAATCTGAAATTAATTGTCAAGACACCATGGTGTCTGCCTGAGGGCAGCGGGATCTACATCAATTCACTTCAGCATTCCTCTCTATGGGAGCTGTGGGAGTTTCCTGGCAGAGATCTTTCTGCAAAAGTGTGGGGTTCCGACAGATCAGTGACAGTTTCCGTGAATGCCCTTCCAACATCTTCATTTTTTCCCTCAGGTGCGCCATTTCTATTCACACTTGTCTTTCGGCGATGGATTAAAGGCAAGGTAAACCCTGTGCTGAGGCACATCGTGAAACTCTCCAGAGCTTTCAGACTCATTTGGCACATTTGTCTGCTGTTGTGATGTCACCAGCATATGCAGACTTTGATGGCTTGAATTGCTCGTCTTTTGTCTGAGGCAACCAAGATGGTCATTGGAGTTTTCCTCTGGACTGGGTTGCAATTTGAGTCAAAACTACTCCCTCCTATCTGCCCATTTATCTATAAGGTGGCCAGTGGCTGGAAGGCTACCAAGTCTGGGGCTAGAGGCAGGAAAGTCTTGTTTCTTCTGCATCATTTTGGCCTATAAGTGGTATATTAATTAATAAATTCATAATAAATTAATAAATCACTGGTGCCAGAGTCCCTGGAGAATTGTAGGAATGCCAGGTGTTATATGAATACCAAACTCCCTGGAGATGTGATGTTGCAGGAATTATGCCTAGATTGTGAGGGGCTAGGGGGGGTCTGAAGTGGATTTGTAGTTGGGCCAAGAATTAACTGATCTACAAATTTTGATTGATTGCCCCAAAATTCAGTTTGCAAACTCAACCTCCATCTGTCAATAAATCGCCATCTTTGCCCACTGCTTCAGGGAGCTTCTGGGGCTGCCTCACGACATGGGGCTCCTCCTCCAGCTTCTTCATGACCTTCTCAAACTTGAATGTGACCTAGGAGGCCACTCAAAGAGGTCCTGGAAGAACTTCTCCTGCCAGGCCAAGATGGAATCCTGGAAGGAAACAAGGAACGATGTTATTTGAGCACAAGGGCTCAGCACTAGCTTCCAACAGCTTGATGGGCTTCTGCCCTGATCCAGCAAGCTCTTCTTAGGTTCTCTGAGCTGTATATGTTTCACCAGGAGAGAACCATATAACCGTGTTTCAACTTTGGCTTCAAAATCAATTTGGGTAGCTACTATAGGCCGGAGGGGACACGGGTGGTGCTGTGGGTTAAACCACTGAGCCTAGGGCTTGCCAATCAGGAGGTCGGTGGTTCGAATCCTCACAATGGGGGGAGCTCCCGTTGCTTGGTCCCTACTCCTGCCAACCTAGCAGTTCAAAAGCACATCAAAGTGCAAGTAGATAAATAGGTACCGCTCCGGTGGGAAGGTAAACAGTGTTTCTGTGTGCTGCTCTAGTTTTGCCAGAAGCAGCTTAGTCATGCTGGCCACATGACCCAGAAGCTGTACGCCGCCTCCCTCGGCCAATAAAGCGAGATGAGTGCCACAACCCCATAGTCGGCCATGACTGGACCAAATGGTCAGGGGTCCTTTTACCTTTACCTTCCACATGAAAATGAAGCCATGTTGTCTGAAGAACTACACCTACTAATTTTCCATATCATTTGCACCTTAAGAAAAAACCCAATATTTTAGTTACTTCCCTGTCTTTACAAGATATATGCCTACCCACTTAGGTGACCACTTCCTATATTGCGGAAATCAGTCTCTTAAGCTTAAGCCAAGAAATAGTATTCTTTATGAAATTGAATATCAATATATTTATCAAGGCTTTGAGATTAGACCACTGAAGAAGCCTGGAAAACTACCTTGGGAGTGTGCTACCTGTAAGCCCCAGTTAAAGGGCCCCATCAGGGGCGAACAGCGGCCTTACTTGGACTGCCAGGGCGAAACAGCTGCAAAACGCCGGCACCCTGTCTACAACTTCATTAACATCCATCTACAACTTCACTAGCATCTCTCAGTATTGTGAACAACACCGAACTTACCCTTCATGAACTTACCTACAAAGATAACTTACCTACAAAGATAAAGAAAACAAAAGACTGAGTTAAGCATTTGAAAAATCCATTGAAACCAGACATTATAAGTTCATCTTAGGTTGGGTAGTTCGTAAGTCTCTGTGGCTTTGCACAAGGTTTCGTACCGTATTTTTCGCTCTATAGGACGCACTTTTCCCCCTTCAAAAATTAAGGGGAAATGTGTGTGCATCCTATGGAGCGAATGCAGGCTCCTTGGCTTCAGGGATAGCAGTGCGAAGCCTCCAAAGCGCAGAGGGAGCACTCCCTCCATGCTCCTGAGGCTACGCGTTGCTTTCACTGAAGCCTGGAGAGCGAGAGGGGTCGGTGCGCACCGATCCCTCTCGCTCTCCAGGCTTCAGGGATAGCCGCCTGAAGCCTTTGGAGCGCAGCAGGACCTCGCGCTGCGCTTCAAAGGCTTCAGGTTCCTTTTGCTAAAGCCGGGAGAGCAAGACTCTCCCGCTTCAGCAGAGAGGGAGAGCTGCGCAGCGCTCCTTCAGCGAAGCGGGAGGAGAAATGGAAGGGGTTCCGTTTCTGCTGCCGCTTCGCTGAGGGGGCGCTGAGCAGAGAGGGGGAGAATTTTTTTCCTTGTTCTCCCCCTCTAAAACAAGGTGCGTCCTATGGTTGGGTGCGTCCTATAGAGCGAAAAATACGGTATATTTCTTTCAGAAGATTGATAAAGAATGTATAATTATTTTGGTAATTATTGTGTGTATATTAGTCGCCAACGTGTTGCATGAGTCGTATTACTTCTGTCAGCAGCACAGCTTGCATTTTTCTAACTTTTTGTGCTATAGCTACCATGGCTGGGGCTGGTCGGAATTTTAGTCCAAAATATCTGCATGGTATCATCTTGGTGAAAACTGTCCAAAGTCATGCTACCTCAGATTTTTTTTTAGTCTTCAGATTGCCACAGAACCCACCCTTGTTTTTGCTAAATATTTGCATCCTTATTTGAATTCAGCATCTCCCGTGGGATAAAGATGCAAAAGGGGAGGCAAAATTATGAGAATTATTAGTATTCTGCATGGCCTCTGGAAAGGTCAGCTCTAAAACACTTGTCAGGGAAAGATCAATTTTTCATTATATTTCCCCAATGATTTGAAGACTCTTCTTCCTAGTCTATGAACCAATCATCTTTTTATTAGGTACCAGAAGATGGAGCTCTATTAATAAGCCTTCTTTGCTGAATGGCATTCAGGAAAAAAATGCAGACAAATTACAGCCGAAGACTTGGAAATGCTAAAGAATTGCTTTGTTTTCCCCTGGAGCTGAAAATATTGAAAGCCGGTCACAGTTACTTAGGCTTACTCTAAATTCAAGAAAACAGTTTGAACATGCTCAGTGTGAGAGGCTATATATCATTTTTAATTTTATCCTATTGATTCTTTCTTTTTCCTGCCATGGAATTCTATAGCACTGCTCATTTTTTGTCTACATTTCAGGTGGAGGACACAGTTAGATCAAGAAATCTATTCTGAATTTTAAAGGAAGTTTTAGAACTCAGGATCTACAGTATGCTGCTACAGCCAGCTCAGATCCTATACATGTTTCCAGATGCTAGTTCTCAAATCCAGGAGGAACTCATGTAGAAATCATAAACAAAAATAGAAGGACTACCGGCAGAAGATTTTTTCCACCACCATGTTGTAGGAATGAGGGCTCATGGGAACTTGGGGGTGGGATTCCTTAGGGTGGGCAGACTTTGCAAGCCTGATGATGTCACTGGGAGCACAATGAGCTCCAAACTGGGTTCAGAAGTCAGTGAAATCTTTACTATCTCCATGCTATACTAACATGTATGGTAAAAGGTAAAGGATTCCTGGACAGTTAAGTCCAGTCCAAGGTGACTATGAGGTTGCAGCGCTCATCTCACTTTCAGGCCGAGGGAGCCGGCGTTTGTCCACACAGACAGCTTTTCCGGGTCATGTGGCCAGCCTGACTAAACTGCTTCTGGCGCAACGGAACACCGTGATGGAAACCAGAGTGCATGGAAACTGTTATGTACTGAAGTTCTCACCCTGGGCCAGCAGGGGGATACTGTAGATAGTTCAGGTCCACATATGCAAATAAGGGATCGAAAGTGACGTTCAGTGATTGGGTAGTTACAGAAAATGGTTACTGTTGCGTTCTAGTGGAGCTCTATATAAGCAGGCTGGATGAACCCTTCAGTTCAATTCTGTTCTGGCCTGTGAATAAACAAGAGCTGTTTGAAGAATCACTGTGTCATCTGATATGTTCACCCACAACTTAGCAGAAATGCTGTTTACCTTCCCACCACAGCGGTACCTATTTATCTGCTTGCACCGGTGTGCTTTCGAACTGCTAGGTTGGCAGGAGCTGGGACAGAGCAACAGGAGCTCACCCTGTCGCAGGGATTTGAACTGCGACCTTCCAATCTGGAAGCCCAAGAGGCTCAGTGGTTTAGACCACAGCGCCACCCGCGTCCCCTATAACATGTATACTAAAATGCAAGCAGAAATTGGTTGGCCATTTGCCATGTACAATCCAGTTGAGATTTCTGCATTGCAGGGTTTTGGATGAGATGAACCTTGGGCTCCTTTCCAACTCTACAGTTCTATGATTCTATGTTATAGGGCTGAGTCAAAAGTTCAATCTTCCAGCTTAAATTCTGACAGGGCCAAAAAGTGGTCTGAAAACCAGGAGGAATTGAGTAGAGGGCAGTAAATTACTTGAAAAATTTGGTGGGATGGCAGCATTTTGTCTTTTTTCCTCCCCAGAATGCTCTAGGCATGGCCTTGTCCCACAAAAGTGGATCCCACCGTGCGGTCCTTACTCCCAGAAAGGCCTGGAACAACACCATATTGAGGGCAATCTAGGAAAAATATGTCAGTCACTGGCTAGAAACCAGTGACATTATCCTGCCCTCATTAGTCAAAATGTCCCCCATGCAGGCCATTTTGACTAAGTCCCCTAATGACTGTCACTAAAATCAGTTTTCTGAGGTGCAGTGACAAGCGTAGTGTTGTGGTGATGTGAGGAAATCGCCCTAATTTTACCCCGTATTCTGGCATGGTGACCAGTCTTGTGAGTGCACTGATGCATCTTCTGCATAAAATTAAATAGTGGGTTGCTATTTCTTTGGCAATCTCCATGTTGGCATATTCTCAAGATACCACATTGACAATGTGATAGCATAATGGTTCCGTCACATCACATTGTCCCAGAAATATGTAGCTCACCTGTGGTATTGTGGGCAAATCACTAGCATACTAAAGTTTCAGTGCGGCATTTAATTTTCTACTTGTACAATTAAATGACCTTTTTTGTGTCCTAATGCCAAATATTATCAATTGTATCACTCTCAAAGATTGAAGTGTTGAATAATTAAAACCTGATGTGGTTGTATATATCATTCATATTGATGATATTGGGAATGAATAAATAATACACTGCAGAATTGTTAAAGCAATACGTCATTTAAATAGACTCTAGCTGTGTAGATCAGGAGGGGAGACCCGTGATCCTCTAGAAATTGTTGAACTCAACTCCTATCATTAAACTCCATTAAACAAGATAAGTGGTATGGGATTATGGGAATTGTAGTACAGTAATGAATGGAGGCCCATAGGTTGCCCATCCTTGTAGTAGATTATTGTGATGGGATGATGAGCTGCTTGTGCGTAAAATCGTATCCCCTCAGAGTTTGTTCAAGTCCACAAACCTCTGTCTGTGACGGAGCCCCTCAGACATGGCTCCTCTAGTCACTAGCAGATTCCGACAGTGGTTGCTTTCGTAATCGCTTCCAACATAAAAGCTCCTTAACGGAAACACGTCTTCTGGACTCTCTGCGTGACAGTTTCCGGCGAGGAGTGGGTGTTCTTACAGGAGGTCCTGAAACCTCCCCACTGTTTTCGCTGGAAGTGTCTCTGAGCCATCCCTCCAGCTCAGCTCCTCTCCCCTGCTGGTTCCCTCTTCAGCTGCTGAGTCTCTCCCAACCTGTGTGAGCCCTTTCACCTCCCTGCTGGTTCCTCTTCAGCTGCTGAGTCTCTCCCAACCTGTGTGAGCCCTTTCACCTCCCTTCCGTCCGATGGCAGTTCCCTGACATCCACCTCCCCTCCAGGGCCCCCTTCACCCCCTCTCGCCCCCTCCTCTACGGGCGGTGAGGAGGCAAAACCCCGGAATGAAGTTCCTTCATCTTCCGATGTCTCGAACACTTCTCTCCACCTGTTGCGGTTCCTGGTCTCGAAGTACACCTCCTCCTCAGAGTCCATCTCCCTTCCCCTTCCGAGTCCGGGAATCCTTCCAACTCCTCCCCTCATCAGTGGTCCCAAAGTATTCCCTCCGGAACCTCTCCACAGGCTGAGGTTTCCTTGGGAACCTTTGATGGAACGTTTCTATCAATACCTCGTCATTGATATCTTCGGCCATTACCCAAGTGTTTTCTGACTCCGGTTCTCCTTCCCACGCTACCAAATACTCCACCTGATCCCCCTTCCACCTGGCGTCGAGGATTTCTGCCACATGGCTGCTGCATTCTCTTTCTTCTATGACCGGTCCCCGAGTGGCCATCCCTTCTCGTCCCCCTTCGTACGGTGACAGTAACGACCTGTGAAATACTGGGTGCAGTTTCATGTGGTTGGGTAACCGGAGCCTGAAAGCCACTGGGTTGACCTGTTGAATGACCTCAAAGGGACCCAACCTCCTGGGTCTTAATTTCTTACAACCTCCTTTGAACGGCAACCCTTGGGTTGACAGCCACACCCTATCTCCCACCCTTATGGTTTCACCTTCCCTTCGGTTCTTGTCTGCCTGCCTCTTGTATTCTTCCTTCGCCCTTTCTAAGTTGAGTTGGAGCTGACGATGGATTGCTTCCATTTCTTCCACAAAATGCTCGGCTGCCGGGACGCTCCATCTCTCCCCATCTCCCCCCTGGAAAAGACCTTGGATGACACCCATAATTAGCCAAGAAGGGGCTCATCCCTGTGGACACATTCTCGGCATTGTTGTAGGCAAATTCCGCCAGCGCCAACTTTTCTACCCAGTCATTCTCTCTGTCATTGACATAACACCTCAGGTATTGCTGGAGGACACCGTTTGCTCTTTCCGCCTGCCCGTTGGTTTCAGGGTGCCGGGCAGTCGAAAATTGACCTCCACCTGCAGTAAGCTCATGAGCTTCCTCCAGAACCTGGAAGTAAATTGTTTTCCTCGGTCTGAGACCACCCTCAATGGCACCCCGTGCAACCTAAAAATGTGTTCTACAAATAACTTCGCTGTCTCTTCCGCCGTGACTGCATGCGAGCAAGCTACAAAGTGGCACATCTTTGTTAGTAGGTCTACCACCACCATGATGGCTGTTTTCCCTTTGGACTTCGGCAGATCAGTCATAAAATCTATCGACACTGCCTCCCAAGGTCGTTCTGGGGTTGGTAAGGGTTCTAATAGCCCCGCCGGCGCCCGCCTTTCCCCTTGGCTCGCTGGCATTGCTCGCACCCTCTTACATACTCACGTACATCTTCCCCCACCTTAGGCCACCAAAATTCCCTGGTGACCAACCACATGGTTTTGTGTTGTCCAAAATGCCCCGCCGTAGGGCTGTCGTGCAACTGCTTGAGTACCCTCCCCTTAACTCTCCTTCAGGGATATACAGTGCCCCTTTGTAATACAAAGCTCCATTTCTTTCCTCGAAACCCCTGGTTCCTCTCCCTCACCCCTAAGACCTCTGAGCTTATTCTGGGCGTATTCATCATTCTCTGTTTCCTCTACCAGTTCTCTTTGTCCCACCAATGCCGCCCCACACACCCAGCGGTCCTCTGGAATGACATGTCTCTCTTCGGGTGCTCCCTCCCCTCCAAATATTCAGGTTTGCGTGAGAGAGCGTCCGCCCTAATGTTCTCTGGGCCTGGCACGTAACAAATCTCAAAGTTAAATTTGGAGAACTCCTGGGCCCATCTCACTTGCCGTTGGTTGAGCACTCGTGCCGTCCTCCAATACTCTAGGTTCTTGTGGTCAGTGCACACTTGCACCTTATGTTGTGCGCCAATTAGCAGGTGCCTCCATCTCCGGAACGCCTCATGAATGGCTAGTAGTTCTCGGTCATACACCGTGTAGTTCCTCTCGGATTTGTTCAGCTTTCGCGAAAAAAGGCACACGGTCTCCACTCTGACTCCTTCTTCCCTGGCTGCAGAAGCACCGCCCCAACCGCTCTGTCTGATGCGTCAGTTTCCACTCTCATCGGTTTTTGTAAATCCACATGCAGGAGTTGTTGTTCCGAGGCGAAGGCCCTTTTAGTTCCTCAAATGCTCGCTCCGCCTCCTCAGTCCAAACGAACTTCTTCTTACTGCTGAGACAGTCCGTAATGGGCGCCGTCAGGTGGGCAAAGTTTCGGATGAACTTACGATAGAAGTTCCCAAATCCTAGGAACCTCTGCACATCCTTCCTTGTTTTGGGTGTTTTCCATTCCAGCACCGCCTGGACCTTGCCGGGATCCATGGCCAATCCCTTGTCTGACAGGCGATACCCCAGGAATTCCACCTCCTTGGTATGAAACTGACACTTCTCCAGTTTCACCCACAGCTGGCTGGCTTGCAGCCTGCTCAACACTTCTCTGACGTCTCTCACATGCTGCTCCTCATTCTCAGAATACACCAACACGTCGTCTAAAAAGGCCACACAATTCTTGTAAAGCAAAGGCCCCAGGACGTGGTTCATAAACGATTGAAATGTTGCGGAGCCTGCTTGTAGGCCGAAGGGCATAACCAAATATTCAAATGCCCCTAAAGGGGTGAACATAGTGGTTTTCCATTCATCCCCCTTCCTTATTCGTACCAGGTTGTACGCCCCCCTTAGGTCCAGCTTTGTGAAAATCTTTCCCTTCCGCACCCTTGTCAAAATGTCGTCAATCCTGGGCATAGGGAAGGCCACTGGTTCTGACACTGCATTTAAGGCCCTGAAGTCACACACCAGCCTCGGCTTGTTCGTGTTTTTTTATCCACAAAAACACTGGGCTGCCCCCACCGCCCTGGACTCTCTGATGAACCCTCTCTTCAGGTTCTTGTCAATGAACTCTCTTAACTCCTGCATCTCTCTGTCTGACATGGCGTACAGCTTGCCTACAGGGAGCTGTGCTCCAGGGAGTAAATTGATTTGACAGTCAAAGGGTCTATGCGGGGTAGTTGGTCAGCTTCCTTTCGCTGAAGACGTCACGGAGATCTGCATATTGTCGTGGTACCTTCACGTTCTCCGTTACTTCAGTCCCTGCTAGGGTGGCTTGGGCCCCTGCCAAACCCTTTCCCTCTTTGCAGTGTTCTAAGCAATGTGCTGAACCAAAAGAAACCACTCTCTGATGCCAGCCCACCAGCGGATCATGTAACGCTAGCCAGCTCATCCCCAATATAATGGGAGCTCCTCCCAAGGTGGCCACATTAAAAGCTATCAGTTCGGTGTGCCTTGCTACCTTCATTATCATTGGGACGGTCTGCAAGCTGACTTCTCCTCCCAACAGCTCCCTGCCATCGATCGTGGTCACCTGCAGGGGTTGCTTAAAGGGATCGTCTGTATCTGGTGTTCAGCTGCAAACTCTTTGCTCATGAAATTGCAGGAGCTGCCTGAGTCCAACAGCGCCTTTATCTTTAGAGGGTGTCCGTTTGGCAGCTCTAGCGTCACTTCTATCACTAGGGCGGGTTTAGGAGGTTCTGGCGTGGGCACTCTCACTGCTCTTTGGCCTGGCTGCTGTGCCCCGACAGTGGCAGCCAGGCGTTGGCTTTACTTGCTCCGGTATTTCTTCCTCTCTTCCATCCACAGCTCCTACCATCCCTTGCCATTCCTTCCTCTGGGGGCAGACTCTGGCAAAGTGACCTGGCTGTTGGCAGAGATAGCATTTCCGGGCGCCTTTTCCCTCCTTCTTTCCCCTCACTGGGCTTTGAAACTGCGCGCGCGCGCTGTTCCGATTTCCATTGGCTCTGCCGGCGGGAAAGTTGGCTCTGGAATGTCTGGAATGCGGAACTCCTTCCAACGTTCCCCTTCCCTTCCCGCCTCTCCAATGCTCTCGCCTCCTGGCGCGCTCCTATGGTCAGCGCTGATTTGGTCAGCTGGTCCATAGACTCCGCCCTGGGCGCCCGGGAAAGTTCGTCTTTCACAGCCGAAGAAAGCCCTTCTTCAAAGAGCATTTGAATGGGTTCCGCCGATAAGTCCCACCCCAATCTGTGAACAAGCATGGTGAACTCAGTCCAGTACTCACGGACAGATCGGCTCCCTGTTTGCAAGCCATTAACTGTCTGCGCACCACTCCCTGTTCAATATCGCTGGAAAACATCAGATCCATGGCGCGAAAGAACTTCATCGTGTCCTTTAGGACGTCACTATTCGCTGCCATCAGGGGTCTAACCCAGTAAGATGCTCAATCACGAAAGCCACTCGTGATTCCTCGTCAGGGAATTCATCAAACTGCAGATTGAGGGCATATTGCATTTCTGTCCGAAAGCCATGATAGTTTTTGGGCTCCCCCCCAAACTTCTGCACCAATCCTGGTACCTTTCTGGCGAGCTGGGTGGCTTTCCCTTTTGTCTGCATCCTGAGCCCTCCTCTCCTCAAGCCTCGCCGTCTGCATCGCTAGCTGGACCTCCAACACCCGGTACCTTTCTTCCAGGCTTGGACCCGCTCCAGCTCCTGCTTCTCCGGTTCCGGCTGGGTTGCTCATGATGCCTTCTCCTGCACAAGCTGCTTTCAAAGACTGTCGGAATGCTGTGATGGGATGATGAGCTGCTTGTGCGTAAAATCGTATCCCCTCAGAGTTTGTTCAAGTCCACAAACCTCTGTCTGTGACGGAGCCCTCAGACATGGCTCCTCTAGTCACTAGCAGATTCCGACAGTGGTTGCTTCGTAATCGCTTCCAACATAAAAGCTCCTTAACGGAAACACGTCTTCTGGACTCTCTGCGTGACAGTTTCCGGCGAGGAGTGGGTGTTCTTACAGGAGGTCCTGAAACCTCCCCACTGTTTTCGCTGGAAGTGTCTCTGAGCCATCCCTCCAGCTCAGCTCCTCTCCCCCTGCTGGTTCCCTCTTCAGCTGCTGAGTCTCTCCCAACCTGTGTGAGCCCTTTCACCTCCCTGCTGGTTCCCTCTTCAGCTGCTGAGTCTCTCCCAACCTGTGTGAGCCCTTTCACCTCCCTTCCGTCCGATGGCAGTTCCCTGACAATTATGTACATAATTTAGACATTGTCCCCTTTCCCTTGTGATATACTTTATGTATATTCATTACTTTATGCCTTTATCTATGTTATTATATTCACCAACCAACTTGCAAACAAATGTATATTCTTCCTCATACTGTATAACATCATTTCTTCTTTCTTAGATGTTATTAATTTGCAAATTATTATTAATAGACTAATTGTTATTAATTTGGGTTTTATGGTGACAAGGAATTATCCAGCCTCGAGGAAATGGCGGCATTAATGGATAAGAATTCCTGCTCTCACAAAGAAAGGCCGTCTCCTGATTTTGTTATAATTAAAAATGAATGTGTTTAGAAAGGGACTGGCCATCCATTCTTCCTGATATATGGAGAAATATTATAATAATATGTGCAGTTATGAAGCTAAATTTCCATTGTCTGCAACAGAACGGGTCTTTCCCTGTAGTTTGGACTACATTTAAACTATATTCTTCATTATAATATCTTTAAAATGTGGAAGTCTTAGAATCATAGTATTGGAATGGATTATGAGTGTCATCTATGTGATGCCCAATATCTGCTATGTGATGCCCAAAATCTTGTTTTAGCCCGTTCCAAATCAGTACAGAGGAAGGGCTTGCCCATCACTGCTTGGGCATTCTAAATGAAACTGAGACTAAGAACTGGGACTGGTTTCGAAGCGACTCAGTTTCACTTGTCTCACTGGTCCTCAGAAAAGCACAGTGTATGAACCACGAGTGACTGCTTTGCAGAGCAAATCCACCTGAATAATATCATGGCCATAAAGGTAAAAGGTAAAGGACCCCTGGATGGTTAAGTCCAGTCAAAGGCGACTATGGTGCTGCAGCGTTCATCTCACTTTCAGGCCGAGGGAGCCGGCATTTGTCCACAGACAGTTTTCCGGGTCATGTGGCCAGCATGACTAAACCGCTTCTGGCACACAGAGGACCGTGACGATTAGCAGAGACAGATAGCTGATTAGCAGAGCACCTGGTTTGCATTCAGAAGCTCCCAGGTTCAATCCTTGAGCTCTCTGGGTAGGGCTGGGAAGAACTTCCTGCCCAAAACTTTGGAGACCTGTTGAGACAATACTGAGCTAGATGAACCAGTGGCGTGAGGTTAGTGGACTAGGGGGACTAAGCTAGTTCCCTAAATGCTCCCCAGGGGCCTCCTTCCCAAAGCCTGGGAAGCTTCTGCCTGGCTTAGAGAAGGAGGCACAAGGCTCACGCACATTATGTCAGGACACCCCTCTGCCCAATCGCCCTTGCAAGCTGGTGCCTCTGGCTCTAACCCTATGAAAAATTTCACCGCACGTCACTGCCCAGATTGACCAATCTGACTCAGTATAAAGTACAGCGCTACCTCGGGTTACATACGCTTCAGGTAACATACGCTTCAGGTTACAGACTCCACTAACCCAGAAATAGTACCTCAGGTTAAGAACTTTGCTTCAGGATCAGAACAGAGGCTCAACAGCAGCAGGAGGCCCCATTAGCTAAAGCGGTGCTTCAGGTTAAGAACAGTTTCAGGTTAAGAACGGAAGAATTAAGTACTTAACCCGAGGTACCATTGTAGCTTCCTATATTCCTACCCACGACACTGTCTGCCAGAAATACAATTTGTTCACAAAGTAAAAATGTAACAATCCAATCCCTCTCTCCAGTTCCCTGCATGTGAACAATGGCATTTGCATGCACACAAGAGGGCTTTCATCCCAGCGCACACCGCGTCTCCACGTTCCCCAGCTGTGTGTGCAGAACTGTGTGCACAGAAATAGGTCTGCAGGCACATTGATCTATGTAAAGGAGAGCCCGAGGAAGGCGGATTTGTGTGCACAAAAGAACAAAGGAGCCAATGTATTTTACATTACAATGTATTTTACACCAGCATCCTTTTGGAAGGGTAACAAAGAAAGTGTTCTCTAACAACCTCCTCTGTGCCCATGACAGCTATCACTCATAGAAATTCTATATCTCTCATATTGTGGGAGCAATACGGCACACTGCCAGCACTTGAATTTCACACATCTTTTACGGATGGAATTGAATATGCCAAGGAGTGCAATAATGCGACGTACAATGCTGTCAATTTATTTCCCCCTTCCGCTTTGCTTTCCCCCTTCCTTTTCACTCCCCTGACTGCAGGTCTCATGTTTTTTTAGTGTGTAGCAGCAGAAGCGAATCCATTCTGGAGTGTACTTACTTAATAGTAAGTGCATTTGATGGACAGAGCCAGGCAATGCAGCATGAATCCAAATGCTGTACCTCAACGAGCGAAGCTACATCATCATGATGACAAGAAGACTGGGCCCCCGGCTGTTATGAGTTCTGGATCTCATATTTGTGCTGAGGTGTTGCCTTTAAGGCCGCAAAACTTGCTGCATATAACCTTTTAGCAGTTATCCAACAGATGCAATTTATTGTGGCCTATCAAGTTCTGTGTCAATGTATTATTATAACCGTAAGTGTTGTGTTGATGAGAAGAAAGGGAAAGAGTTCTAAAGTAGGGTTACCAGACGTCCCCGGTTCCTGGGGACAGTCCCCAGATTTGCAAATCTGTCCCTGGGGCAGCGGCAGCCTCAGCAGCCTGGAGTCAGCCTGGTGGCGCAGTTGGCTCTGGCTGGCTTCAGGAGCTTCTCGCTGCCATGGCACCTGCCATTTTTCCTCACCGGAAGTCCCCATATATGTGTCTTGTGCTATCTCCTGCCCCCTTCCCCCTTTGTTTTGACTGATTAGGGGAGGCTCGGGAGTTGCGGGCAGCCATTGCCCAGTTTTTAAAAAACTCTGGGCATTTATGTTTCACAGGCTGCGAAATAAGGGCTTTGCATTTTTATACAATATGCATGTATGCTTGGGCCCAGGGTCTTTTGCCTCACCATTCCCACTACTGACTCCCTGTTGCTACTCAGCTTCAAAAAAAAATCTATCCCCGGATTCATTGAAAAAAAAATCTGGTAACCATATTCTAAAGCCTATGCAAAAGTTAGATTCGAAAGTGGTGGGAACAACTGGCAACATAATTTGAAGAAGAACTAATTGGCAGGACTTTCTGGCGTGAACAGCGGCTGTTAAAAGAAAATGTGACACTCACTTTGAAAGCGTTATAGACTCCCCCCTCCCCAATAAGCAATGTGTTACATTTCTCATCTACTAGATGTCTAGTGACTGATGAAGATTGCAGTTTCTAAGGACGGTTTACACCACAGGCATGTAACACATTCCTATGCATCAGAGCCAGTCCAAGTCATTTTGGCACCTGAGATGGACCTCAAAATGGTATCGCCCTCCTGGCCAGGGAAGAAGGGGTGAGGGAAGATCCACATCAGGAACTAGTGGGGGAGATGGGGAGAAAGATCAACATTTCTCATCTGTTGTTTCCCCCCATGCAGATCTATAATTCCCGGCACCCTTAAATTAAATGTATGGTGTCCCATACCATCTGCCCCAAATGTGTGTGTGGGGGGACATCCATCCATAAATGCTCTTAAATGGCTTTGCTGCTGTTTAATTTGAAATCTTTTTGAAAGCAGAACTTAGAAATTGTCTGTCCACAAACCGCCCAGGGCCTTTGCTGATATCCACTGAAACCTAAAATGAGGTCCTGCAAAGAATGTTGATTACCGGGAGAGACATTTCCTTGGACTAAGAATGTATGCAAAGGTCAGTCAATCAATCCTTTTACAGTACAGTGGTACCTCGGGTTACAGATGCTTCAGGTTACAGACGCTTCAGGTTATAGACTCTGCTAACCCAGAAATAGTACCTTGGGTTAAGAACTTTGCTTCAGGACGAAAACAGAAATCGTGCTCCGGTGGCATGGCGACAGTGGGAGGCCCCATTAGCTAAAGTGGTACCTCAGTTTAAGAACAGTTTCAGGTTAAGAACAGACCTCCAGAACGAATTAAGTTCTTAACCCGAGGTACCATTGTATTTGAATGCTTCCTTTCTAAAGTGAAAACCATGCTCAAGGCGGCTAACAACATAAAAGAAAATTCATAACTACAAACATAACAAGTGCAGTTATAAACATCAAAAAGTACACAACCAAATTGAACAATTTCCCCATAAAGCGTAAGATCCAAAATAAAAATTGAAAGAATAACATCAACAACAACCACCCACCAACAAAACCCCCTAAACAATACCCCAGCCCAAGAAATGTGTTTATAATGAACGGATTTTGGTTATCAAGATATTCCCAACTGCTATTTGCAGATTAGGGAACATGTCATTAAGCAACACATCTTTATTCCATGCCTTGTGGCGATATTATAAAATAATAATTTATTTGTGTGTTTGTGCATGCCCCATTATCTAATTCTTATCATCCTTTACGAAAAAGATGATTCTGAAAGAAAGAAAGAAAGAAAGAAAGAAAGAAAGAAAGAAAGAAAGAAAATAGAGCTTCTTATATCCTTTCCTCTAGTTTGGCTTCTTAAACATTTTAATTCCAAGCTTTCTTTCCCCCCAAAAATAAATGTGCAGATTATCAGAACCAGAAGGGATTGATTTTTGTCATTCATTTGTCATTAGAAGTAAAGATTCAGGCTGAAAGAAGGGAATAGGGAGGTCAACGTCTCCTGTTGTGTGACTGACAGAATTTAAGTGGTGAGAGAAAAACACTTTCTGTGGGAAGTCAGCAGAGAAAAGGGTGGTTCAGCAACAGTGGGACTAGAGCATAGATGAGGATTCCTCAGTTGTATTCATAGCAGCCGGCACGAAAACAACTCTGTTTCTTTGCAGAATACTCCTTTTTCCTCCCAAAAGAAGTTCAGTCTTTTTTTCCCCCACTCCACAATTCCTCCCCTTCCTGCATAGCTGATGCAATATCTATTGAAGTCAATGAAGAATGACTTGGGTCCCTCAGTGTGAGAGAAACTTTGCTCCTGACAGCCTTTGGAGTAACAAAGCACCTCTCTGCTTCTAAGCGACAGATCTATAGTTGACAATGCTCATTTGACCTCTACGTTTCAAAAGAACTCTTTCCAAATCGTTCACATCTCAATAATCCACTGCTTTAGATTTCTCTCATACAGTGGTGTTGCCCTAAACTAAGAGACTCACGTGTAACATTTTAAGAAAAGGGCTTTGCTAGCAATGAAACTTAATTTAGTTTCCTGAAACAGAGGTCAGCAGCCTTCTTTTGCACAATCAGTAAACAAGATCCTGCCCATCTGCAGAATGAGGCTATAATCCTACAGACCAGCCTTCCCCAACCTGGTGCCCTCTATATGTACTGGATAACAACTTTAATCAGCTCCAGGCAACTTGGCCTATGGTCAGGGATGACATGCCCTCCAACATTTCTCTCATGAAAATAGGGATATTCTATTTCATAATAATTTTACTATTTATACCCCATCCATCTGACTGGGTTGCCCTAGCCACTCTGGGCTGCTTACAACACACCATCATCATCATCCTTTTTATTCGACCGTCAGTCAGAAAAAAAATACATTTTATCAATACACAGTTAAAACATCCAGGAAGATTTTAAAACTTAGCCAACACTAAAATGGGCTAAACAGATAGCCCCATAGCTTACAACACATAGTAATAATAAAACATTAAACATTAAGAAACTTCCCTATACAGGGCTGCCTTTAGATGGCTTGGTGGTCTGATAACTCCACACTCTCCAACTTTTCTCTGATGAAAATAGGGACATCCTAAGGAAAAGCAGGACATTCCAGGATCAAATCAGAAGCTGGGATGGCTTCTGTAAATTCAGAACCATCTCTGGAAAAAGGAATACTTGGAGGTTCTGAGGTGATGGGAGTGTCATTAGTGTACAAAAGCTCTTGAGATACCCAGCATTTCCTCCCCTTGCCTGATGAAGAGTTTGGACTAGTTGATGCTATTGTTTTTATTGACTTAAATGTGTGCAGAACTTGATTATTATTGTTCACCCTTCATGGAATACAGTTAGGAAGGCTCCCTAGAGTATGTGGTGGCAGCTAACCTTCAAACTGCAGCTAATCCAGAATGCAGCAGCTAGACTGGAGACTGGGAGCGGCCGCCGAGACCACATAACACCGGTCTTGAAAGACCTACATTGGCTCCCAGTATGTTTCCGAGCACAATTCAAAGTGTTGGTGCTGACTTTGAAAGCCCTAAACGGCCTCGGCCCAGTATACCTGAAGGAGCGTCTCCACCCCCATCATTCTACCCGGACACTGAGGTCCAGCGCCGAGGGCCTTCTGGCAGTTCCCTCGCTGCGAGAAGCCTTCTCGGTAGTAGCGCCCGCCCTGTAGAACGCCGTCCCATCAGATGTCAAGAGAAAAACAACTACCAGACTTTTAGAAGACATCTGAAGGCAGCCCTGCTTAGGGAAGCTTTTAGTGTTTAATAGGTTATTGTATTTTAATATTTTGTTGGAAGCCGCCCAGAGTGGCTGGGGAAACCCAGCCAGATGGGCCGGGTATAAATAATAAATTATTATTATTATTGTTATATTATTATTTTCATTAGACAAATTCAGTGCTATTTTTCTAGAAAAAGAGATGCCAGAACTCACCATGAATATGTCCCTTGTTCTCTTAGAATGGCAATGGCACCCACCTGAGAGGTGCCAGAACTGAGTTCCAGCAGGTTGCAGCTGAAAAAGAAGCCCTGGACAAATTCATGGAATATAATTTTCTATTACTCATGATGGATTTATGGAACTTCCAAATGCTGAGCTAGTATACTGTTATGTACTTAAGTTCTCACCCTGGGCCGGCAGGGGGATACTGTAGATAGTTTTCACTCAGGTCCACATATGCAAATAAGGGATTGAAAGTGGCATTCAGTGATTGGATAGTTACAGAAAATGGTTACTGTTGCGTTGTAGTGGAGCTCCATATAAGCAGGCTGGCTGAACCCTTCAGTTCAGTTCTGTGCTGGCCTGTGAATAAACAAGAGCTGTTTGAAGAATCGCTGTGTCGTCTGATATGTTCACCCACAACTTAACATATACCACTGAATATCAGTTGTTGGGGAGCATCAGTGGCTCAGGACCGCTGCCTTCCCTCCTTCCTGGGCTTCCTGGAAGTTGGCCCCTGTTGTAAGCAGAGCCTTGGATTTTGGTGAACCTCTAGTCTGATCCAGCAAGACTCTTCTTATCTGCTTTTGTAATGCAGTGGCTCAGGGAATAGCTGTGGCATAATGCAGTTGAAATCTGGTTGTTGGTTAAGACCAGCGGCTGCTGAAAACTCTTTGGGAACATAAAATATGGAAAGAGACTTGGGGAACAGAAAAGAGACATAAAATTTTAGAGCAGGATGTAATAGTAGAACTCCTGGTCCTTCCTGATTCAGTCAATTTCTTTTTTTAACAATCTCATTCCAGCATGATTTCCATGGCCCATTAGTTTCATCCTTAGCAAACTACAGTGGTAATGAGAAAGGATAGAGATTTTTCTCCTTCTGCATATGCTCATTTGACTTTATTTCCCCTTTCTAATGTAGCAATCTCGCCCCTTTTTGGGGGTGGGGGTACGGCAGCAGTTCGTAATTATCGTTGTATGGTTTTTATATCCTACTAACTACAGAACAAAACAAAACAGTATTCATCGGATAATGCTCTCATCCTGTAGTTTGCGGGAGTCCATGGACTGCATCAATAATGATATCAATAATGATATGCTGTAGGTAATGTACAGATTACAGGATTCTTTTTTTGGAAGGTTTTCCTTTTTTTGGAGGATTGTGCCAATTGTTACAATGCAGTGGTTTCAATCCTACCAAGACTGGGGTTGACAAAAACATTGAGACCTGTCTTATTATGTGAAGACCAATCCAAAAAGTTTAGACAGAAACCACAGAATCATAGATTGTAGGTCATTGTGGCGTTTGCCCGCTCGTTTAGAAACTGTCTGTACAGGGGGAGAGAGAAAGGGTTAAAAATGTAGACCAATAGGAAAGCCAGAGGCGGAGCCTACCTGTTTAGCCCGAGGTTTGAGTTAGTTGATGGTGGGTAGTTGGTTGGTTTTAGTGGGTTGGTTGGTTGGGAAAGGCAGTTGGAAAAGCAGTTGGCAGACAGTTGGAAATAAGAGAGACAGTTAGTGCAGTTGGTTCTTGTGTGAGGGGAGGTAGAAGAGATGGAGCAGGATAAAATAAGACTAAGAAGGTAAAGAGCAACAACATTTGGAATGCAGTTAAAGTTTGTTTGTGTCTGAAATAAACTACACTCTTCTTTGTTAACTTGAGAACCTGACTGAGACTAAGTAATTTACCGGGGAGGACCTGGTTGGTGGCAGCGGATTAGTGGTGTACGGGTCAATAGTCCGTGAGACGACAGGGGGTTCTGTACGAATGCCACAGTCGTCTAGTGCAATCGCCTTCAATGAAGAAATCTCAACTAAAGCATCCATGACAGATGGCTTCCAACCTCTGCTTATAAACGTCTCAGGAAGGAGAGTCCACCACCTCCCAAGGGAGTCCATGCCTACTGTCAGAAATCCTTCCTGATGTTTTGGACAGGAAAATTGGCTTCCAGGTGGAAAGATCCAAATTAGAAACAGAATTGTTAGAACCCAAAACTAAGAATTTGTCAAGAATGTATAACTTGCTGCTGAAATGGAATACTCAGGATGAAACGGTAAAATCGGCTATGATTAAATGGGCACAGGACGTTGGACATAACATTATGTTTGCTGACTGGGAACAGTTATGGACCACAGGTATGAAATTTACGGCATGTAATGCCTTAAGAGAGAATATTATGAAAATGATATACAGGTGGTACATAACCCCAGTCAAGCTTGCGAAAATCTATCACTTGCCCGATAACAAATGTTGGAAATGTAAAGAAACTGAAGGTACATTTTTTCACCTTTGGTGGACGTGCCCAAAGATTAAGGTTTTCTGGGAAATGATATATAATGAATTAAAAAGGTATTTAAGTATACCTTCCCCAAGAAACCAGAGGCCTTTCTCCTGGGCATAGTGGGCCAAATGGTGTTAAAAAAGGATAGAACTTTCTTTATGTATGCAACAACAGCAGCAAGAATACTCATCGCAAAGTATTGGAAGACACAAGAACTTCCCACGCTGGAGGAATGGCAGATGAAACTTATGGACTATATGGAATTGGCGGAAATGACTGGCAGAATCCGTGACCAGGGAGAAGAGTCGATGGAGGAAGACTGGAAGAAATTCAAAGACTATCTTCAGAAACACTGCAAAATTAAGGAATGTTAGAGTGATGTTGGATTGAAAATAAGTGGTTTCCAGCTGTACAGGTTAAAGATAAGGATAGATTAAGATTAAAGATTAAGATTAAAGATGTTTAAAGAAATGGAAATTTGATAATAAAAGGGAAAAATTTAAAGCTATATGATATTAAGAGTAAGGATTAGGTTTAAAAAAGTTGAAGTTATAGATTTTAACATTTTATTAAATTAAAGTGTGGGATTATAATAGTGGAAAAGAAACTGCTGGATAAATAATGTGGATTGGAATACAAAGAGGGAGGTATGAGGAAGTCCAGAAAATAAGTAATTTAAAATTGGAAATGGAAAAGAGAGTTTGTTTTTAATTGTTATGTTTTGTGTTTTTATTGTTGAGTTTTGTATTGTTTTTTGTGTGTGTTGTTTTTCTTTTTTCTTTGTTTAAAACCTTAATAAAAAATTATTAAAAAAAAAAAAAGAAATCCTTCCTGATGTTTAGTCAGAATCTCCTTTCTTGTAACTTGAATCCAGTGTGGTGACCACACAGGGTCCCCGGACGTTTCACCGTCTATTGATCCCTGTGCCACCACTTTATTTCTCGCTGGCACCACCCAGGCCCTACCTGGTACAATACTGAGTCCAGCCAGGGTTAAATCGGAACATAAACTTTTGTTTATTTATTGCAGTTTAACAAGCGTGTGGTTTCATAAACGGTATTGGTCAATTACAATAATGGGGTGCCTATCCAGACCTATAACTCCCGCTCTCACTCACTAAACCACCTCTCAGATATTTACTTGTCTTCCTAGCCCCTAACTATTCCTGGCTCAGCTTATTTCTCTACACTAACTCAACCTACCCACAAACTCTATCCCACTCCAACCAACCACCCAACTTCCAATGAACTCCCCCCTTCGCCCCTCCCAGAGCTGGTTTTATAGACCCTCTGACTCCACCCCCTGGGTTCTGATTGGGTAACCTGTTTAACTATTTCACCTCCAGCACTCTCATATGTTAATGTCACATCCAGTGATTTGGGTCCTAACTTCCAGAGCAGGAGAAAACAAGCTTGCTCCATCTTCCATGTGACAGCCCTTTAGATATTTGAAGGTGGCTATCATATCTCCTCTCAGTCTCCTCTTTTCCAGGTTGTGAACCCTGGCCACCCTGGTCCAATTCCAACCTGTGACATAACCATGCGTGTTTCTGTTCCCTCCTACAACTTCTAGAGTGGGACTGCCTTAAGCATGGTGTGTTCTCAGTGAAATCCTTAGAGTCTGGTTTGCACTGCAACAGTTCTGGTGGTCTCTCTTCTTCCATCCTACCCAGTGGAGTAAAATTTCTCTGCATTTCTTTTAAATTCCCTGGTTTAAAGATCTGGTTTATCAGGAACAGAGAATACAAATGGCATTTCAGCATCGCTAAGCATTGAGGGTAAATCCAAGTCACAGTGATGCAGTTAGAAAGAGTATTGATTTAGCTTAAGGGAATCACATGGCAACCAAATATACAAGAAAGAAAGTTACTGTATTCCTGTAAACAAAAAACACACAGACTTTTGTTGGCTTCATTTGATAAAAGGGACAATGTTCATACCAGCAGTTTCAGGATACTATAAGATAATTGTCTATTTTCTGGTTAGGGTCTAGAAGGTCAACCACTTACCTTTATGCCCAATGCTTGTTCTTAGAGGCAACAAAAGATGAGAAAGCAATATCTCATTACAGTAGCTTTCCATTCAAGCAGGACCTGCTAAAGAACCAGATTCCTGTCCTTTAACAGGGAAAACCAATTGGGTAGATGAAAGATGAATTGTTAACCCAGCTGAATCCAAAACTGATTATTAAATCTCATTGAAATGAGGAACACTGACGTAGGGAGGAATCACTCCACCAACATTGATTTCTCATTTTCCCCAGTCTTAAATTCAGTTCTCTCCCCCATTTCTGCATCAGTTTGCAAACTTTTCTTTAAACCTGCTTGAAAATTTATATGCATTTATTTTAGCATTCCTCTTTTTCGCAAGCAAATTTTCCTCTACTATAATGTTATTTTCATCAATTTACGTATTTTATGCTCAAATTTCCTCAATATAAGAGCTGCATCTCAAATATTCTACAAATATTTGTAAAAATGCAGATATCAAATGAGAGCTGTGTTTTGGTTTGGTAGTTAAGGAGGTGAACTGGGTTAATTCCTACACTGAAGTAATAGTCCTGGTGTCAGGTAGCAAAGTTTTAGTTGTTGCGCTGCGTGCTGCATTCTTCATTTTAGAATTGTGAATCGTATCACTGGAAATGGTGGGCCTCAGGTTTGATCAGATCTTTTATTTGATAACTGAATACTGCACCAACTTATTTGTCAACCCTGAAAAACAAATAAATAGGGAGCAGATAACCTGCTATTTGCATTTCTAGGAAATTTGAAACACAGTATTAAGGAGAAAGGATTGATCAAAGTTCAGTTTTATTGCTTCAATCTTCTCCCTTCTTTCATTATGTTTTAATGAGATGAGCTTTTCAAAAGCGATTTCACAGCCTTGAGTAATGTGCCTCCAAGATTTTCTCCTGGATTCCAAAAGGAATAAATAGAATATCTAAGAATAAACCTAGCAGCATACAGTTCATGGGCAACAGGTAATCAAAGCATGCCAGAGCGATTAGAATGGACTACTTCTTTGGATGCTCTGCAAACAGCACCTTTACTCTGGACAGTTATCAAAAATCAAGTAAGAAATCAGATGGATCATTACACTTAAGTCTGAGATTTCATGCTCGGAGAGCATTGGGATCCAGACATTGTCTACTTAGCTAAATAATTACAGTGGAACCTCTACTCACGTACGGAATCTGTTCCAGAGGTCCATTCGTGAATCGATCTGGGTCACTAGTAGAAGCGCCGTTCTGCGCATGCGCATTCAGCGACAGCACCATTCTGTGCATGTGCAGACGGCAGAAGCCACTTCTGCCATAGCTGTCAATATTCCCCCCCTTTTAAGGGAAATTCCCTTATTCCGAGTAGGATTCCTCGCAAGAAAAGGGAAAAGTTGACAGCTATGGCTTCTGTGCGTGTGCGAAACGCTGCAAACCTGGTATTTACTTCCGGGTTTGCAGCGGTTGTGAGTTGAATTGTTCGCGAGTAGGGGCGGTGGTAAGTTGAGGTTCTACTGTAATAGAAAAATAAGCTTATTACTGAGCTAGATCTACCAGTGGTCTGATGTTTTCTAACACAGCTTTCTATCTTCTAAAACACAGTGGCACTTACTTACAAATATACATACAAAGGAAGGTGTTTTCTACCAAGGGAGGCTATTGGTCCTTCTACTTCAGTATGGGCTACACAGCCAGGAGAGGCAGGTGGTGCAGGATGAAGATGTGAATCTTGACTCCCAATGTCGCTACTGTGAGGGTTAAGGCAATAAGGAGGTTGGTCCTGTATGGGGGCCTCAGCGGAGGAGGAACCTGTTCAATGTTGATCTCCCCACTGCCTACCTCCTCACTTTTTCCTCGCACTAAGCATCAGCAGTGATTGGGATTGCAAATCACAGAGTGTATCGATTTTCTTATTCCTCATGAATCTGGGTTCTGCCTAAAGGCCAGTTCTCATAAATCTGTTCTAAATGTTCTGAACATCTGAAGGCAGATGTCAGGGGCTGGACTGAGGAGAAATGGTGGGAGTTGTCCCCCCCCCTTCTCCTGGACCTTCCCAAGGGCAGGAGGACAGTCTTGATTTAGAACAGTGGTTTGCAGAGGGTCATAGTCCAGAGGGGAAAAGCTGGGAAATACTGGGTGAGGAACAGCTAGAAGAGGACTTACCAGGAGAGAGACAGCTAGCAGATTCAGTGTCCTTGGACAGTATTCCTGACCCCCCCCTTGCCTAAGACTAGACGGGCTTTGAGAGTGATAGAACAGAGAGCTCAGTGGCAACAACCTCAGATTACCCGATGAAGGAGTGATGTAGATTAATGGGGATGGAGGGGGCGAACCTTTACGGGGAGCAACGCCATTTCTAGAGAGATATGCATTCCTTTGTCTCTTGCTGTGATTATTAAAGAAACTAACTGGTTAGAATGTTTCTTTCGTTTGATCTGCTTCTTTACTGCCACTGGGGGAGGGATCTGGTTCTCCGAAGCCTGACAGCAGCCTTGTATAGGGACATTTTTTAATCTGTAATGTTTTATTACGTTTTTATATATCGTCATCATCATCATCATCATCATCAAACCTTTATTGGCATCACTTACAAACATTCAGAAAATAGGCCTGTGCGATCTCATCGCCATTTAAACAGTACATTCATTTGCCAAAGGGAAGAAGAGGCGAGCAATCTATTTCAGTTTTTATATATGTTGGAAACCATCCAGAGTAACTGGGGCAACCCAGTTGGATGGGCAAAGTACTATTATCATTATTATTACTACAGCTGCTGTAATCATTCAAGCACCCATTCAATTGAGCCGTATTCAGTCCACGCAATGTTCTGTTTTTCACTCTTTTCCAGAAGCAAAACTGATGGATTTTGAAGCACAGAACGCATGGACTTCTTTTCAGTGCACAGCGAAGTTCCACTACTTGAAATTATTCTGTTCTGTGTATTTTCCTGCACTTCCAGGTCTCTTATGTGTGGCTTGATCAGCAAGTCTTTATTGTTCTGCTTTTACCATCGCAAAGGAATTACATGAAACTAAAATATAAAACAAAATCGTAAATCTCCTACTGCAATAAAACATAGAGCATAAAGATGCAAAATGTACACAGGGAGTTTCACCACCATAAAGCAGAGAGATAGTAATTTTGAAATAAAAGTCATCAAACATATTCAGCAGACTCTTTACGCATAATTCTTAAAATGACCAATAGCAGGTCTTTATGCATATATCACCAAATATAAGAAGTTTGATGTCTCTAATATGTTTGCAACACAGGGAAACAAAGCTTTGCTTTAGTTAAAGATAATCCCCTCTAGTCAAATCAGCATTTTCTTTTGAAGGGCATTTAAAACTGCTACGTTTTCATGTAGAACATGATGCAATGACCCTGTGCTCTAAGCACACAGTACATCCATGCTCATATGTGTGTGGGGAAATAACTGAAGCTTCACTGACTACAACCCCGTATGCCACATCATATGTCCTCCCTAAACATCCCCTGATCCTCAAAAATGATTTTCAGAGAGTGTTGTTGTTGTTGTTTAGTCGTTTAATCGTGTCTGACTCTTTGTGACTCCATGGACCAGAGCACGCCAGGCACTCCTGTCTTCAACTGCCTTCCTCAGTTTGGTCAAACTCATGTTGGTCGCTTCTGTAACACTGTCCAACCATCTCATCCTCTGTCATCCCCTTCTCCTTGTGCCCTCAATCTTTCCCAACATCAGGGTCTTTTCCAGGGAGTCTTCTCTTCTCATGAGGTGGCCAAAGTATTGGAGCCTCAGCTTCACGATCTGTCCTTCCAGTGAGCACTCAGGGCTTATTTCCCTAAAAAGGGATAGGTTTGATCTTCTTGCAGTCCATGGAACTCTCATGAACACTCCCTGTGCTCTTCCCAGGGCTGGAGAGGGGTTAGTTTAAGCTCCAGTTTGCTAGTAAAACTGAATTACTGTGTCACGAAATGATACATGTCAAAAAAGTGTGTCACCAACCTGAAAAGTTTGGAAAGCTCTGGTGGAGGGGGAGAGACAAGCCCAGGTGCAGCTGTGGGTTCAGCCCATAAGGATCTTAGCACCTGAACATGATTTCTGCCCAAAAATGTAATACTGTAGATTTTTCCGTTTTTCACTGAAACCAGCCGCAAATTCAGTCTGGCAATCCCAGTACTGTCAGCAGCATATAGAAGGTCTCAGAAAGGCTCTCAGAATGTGTTCATTCTCTCTCTCTCTCTCTCTCTCTCTCTCTCTCTCTTAATCCTATTTCATAGGATCCATTTAAAACCAGAAGTATGGGATCTAAGGTACCCCTGCCTGTACGGGCCAGTCGTGACCGACTCTAGGGTTGCGCGCTCATCTCGCTCAAGAGGCCGGGAGCCAGCACCATCTGAAGACACTTCCGGGTCACGTGGCTAGCGTGACGAAGCTGCAACTGGTAAGCCAGCACCAGTGCCGCACATGGAAACGCCGTTTACCTTCCTGCTATAAAGCGGTACCTATTTATCTACTTGCACTTAGGGGTGCTTTCGAACTGCTAGGCGGGCAGGAGCTGGGACCGAACGACGGGAGCTCACCCCGCCGTGGGGATTCGAACCGCCGACCTTACAATCAGCAAGTCCTAGGCACTGAGGTTTTACCCACAGCGCCACCCGCGTCCCGAGTATGGGATCTACTCATCACTAAAATTCACTGTTAAACTACCTGTCATGGGGTATATAATTGCAAATGTCCCTTAGAATAAGCATTTGGTTTCAAACAGCTTTCTTTTCCGCAAACACTCTCAAACCAACGCAGAATTGGCTTATACTATAAACCTTCCATTGAGCACTGTAATTTTATGCAATATTTCTATCAAGGAAGCACAAAGGCAACCGGAAGACTACAAAAGCAAATGCCATCTTTGTCATACGTTCATTGAGGAACCGTTCCACTTCAAAATGCGCCTTTGTTTGAAAGTGCCTTTGTGTCAAACAGTTAAAATCTCCCTGCAATCCAGAAGGCAAACACCGCTTTCTTTTCATATAAAAAAACGAGAGAATATTTTACAGCCTACTCTAAATGTTGACTGATTGTGGTGTTAAAGAGCATAGACTCATACAACCATAGAATTGTAGAGTTGGAAGGGACCCTGAGGGTCATCTTGTCCAACCTTCTGCTATGCAGGAATCTACACTAAAGCATCCATGACCTCTGCTTAACAACCTTCAAGGAAGAAGTGTCTACCACTTTCTGAAGGAGTCCATTCCACAGCTTTTAATGTCAGAAAGTCCTTCCTGATGTTTAGTTGGAATGTCCTTTCCTGTAACTTGAAGCTATTGGTTCAGCTCCTAGCCTCTGGAGCAGGAGAAAACAAGCTTACTCCATCTTCCTTGTGACCCCACTTGAGATATTTGAAGATGGCTCTCATATCTCCTCTCAATCTCCTCTTTTCTTGACTAAACATACCCAACTCCCTCAACTGTTCCTCATAAGGCTTGGTTTCCAGACCCTTGATCCTCTTGGTCATGCTCCTCTACACATGTTCCAGCTTGTCAATATCCTAAATTGTGGTGCCAAGAACCAAACACAATACAGTGGTACCTCGGGTTACAGACGCTTCAGGTTACAGACTCCGCTAACCCAGAAATAGGTTAAGAACTTTGCTTCAGGATGAGAACAGAAATTGTGCGGTGGCAGCGGGGCGGCAGCGGGAGGCCCCATTAGCTAAAGTGGTACCTCAGGTTAAGAACAATTTCAGGTTAAGAATGGATCTCCAGAACGAATTAAGTTCTTAACCCGAGGTACCACTTTACTCTTGGTGCAGTCTGACCATGGTAGAATAGAATGGTACTATGACCTCCCTTGATCTGGACACTATACTTCTGCAGCCCAGAATAGCATTAGCTTTTTCTTTTTTGCTGCTGTTGCTGCAGCATCAACATCACACTGTTTGCTCATGTTAAGCTTGTGGTCTACTAAGACCCCTATATCCTTTTCACATGTACTACTGGACATGTGTGCCATATTCAGAATGAATAAAAGTGATGCCAGAACAGGCTCCCAGTACATTTCTGAGCACAACTCAAAGTGTTGGTGCTGACCTTTAAAGCCCTAAACAGCTTCGGTCCAGTATACCTGAAGGAGTGTCTCCACTCCTATCATTCAGCCCAGACACTGAGGTCCAGCTCCAAGGGCCTTCTGGCGGTTTCCTTACTGCAAGAAGTGAGGTTACAGGGAACCAGGCAGAGGGCCTTCTCGGTAGTGGCGCCCACCCTGTGCAATGCCCTCCCATCAGATGTCAAGGAAATAAACCACTATCTGTCTTTTAGAAGACATCTTCCCTCTTTGGGGAAGTTTTTACTGTCTGATGTTTTATCACATTATTATTATTATTATTATTATTATTATTATTATTATTATCATTATTATTATTTGTGTTGGGAGCTGACCAGAGTGGCTGGGGAAACCCAGCCAGATGAGCAGGGTATTTAATAATAATAATAATAATAATAATACTGAGTTTTTAAAAAAGAAGTAAATATGGGCCAATGGATCAAGCAAAAAACCTGTGGAAAGTGTTACAAAATGAGGCTCTAATTAGATTGCCATCTTGTCCTGTGTTTATTGCTTAGCCATAAATATCAAACATATATGTTTACTCATGCTTACAAATGCATTATATGGTTGCCACGTGCCCTCTTTTTCCAGGACATGTCCTCCTTTCCAGGGGTAAAATTTCTGTCTGGGTGGATTTTTAACATTTACCAAAATGTCTCTGGCTATACTTTCTGGATGAGACATAGACATAACTGATGGCTGGAGACTTGCTTGCCTCTTCTCTTCTTCTGCCCCCCTCAGCAATATATCACAGCTTCTATAGCCCACATATAGTAGGGGTATGTAAAATGAGAGTTGTTATAGCGTCTTCTTTTTTGCTCTCCAAAATATGGCAACCCTAGCATATGCCCCAAATCACCCAGTCTCACAGGTTACTAGTGTTCTAATTTCAGAACCAGCCCTAACCTTAGTGAGAGTGAAGTGACTACCTCAGGTGTTTGAAACCAGGGCATGGTCAGTGGTGGTGAAGTGTTGGGAGATGAAGGAATGGGTTTCCCCATCCCAAAACTGACTGTGCAGGCAGTTTGAAACTGCACCAAAATCCCTATTTTTCCTTAGCTAAAATGCTTTGACTTGAGCTCTTGAGTCAAAACCCAGCTGTATAAACAAGTGCTCAAAGCTCTCTCCCTTATCAGTCCATGAAGGCCGGTAATGACGGATGGCTTTGTCCATTCCAAAGTGGAACAGGGATGACACTCTGGGCCTTATCTTACATCCTGACCACAAAGACCACAAAGACGCACAGACCTAGTCCGGGAACAGTGCCAGAGTGTGTTCTTGGAGTTGGTGACCTCTTGCTCCAGTATAAGAACAGGAATATCCTTTTATGGTCGGAAGTACAGGAAGGAATACCCTTTTATGGTTAAGAATACCGGAGCAGGAACATATGTGATGTCAACCTACGTGTATAGGCTGACGTGGTTGGATTCCTGGGGAAGGAGGGAGAGGGTGCCTGGAGGATATATATACTGCATGAAATTTCTCATTTCTTTGGACTTGCTGTGGACTGACCACGCAAGTGCCTTTCTGCTGTTCCGGAGAACAGAAATAAAGAACTCTTTCTCTGAACCGACCCTCGGTGTCATTTGACTTCCTTCCTCCTGTCCGGGAGCAATGCAGACCCAATCCCTGAACTCCAATAAGGCTACAGAGACAGAGCCAATTGAGAGTGTTGCCCTATTACCAGTACTGCAGTAAAATTCAGCTGCAAATCTCGTTATCTTCAGTACATTGAAAGGGTGGCGGTAGTCTTGTCTTTCCCTTCAGGCAGCAAAGTTTCTTAAGAATGACACCTGATTCATTCCCCTTACAGCTGTGAATGTGATTGGAACTCTCTGCTATTGAGTTGTTGTAGGGAGTTTTACACTCACCAGACATGACCGCTGGAGTGGATATCTGCCCCACAATGGGAAACCCACAATGGGAAACCACTTCAGTCTCCATTTGGTCAACTCCTATTCTCAAGCACTATACTTTATCCTGCCTGCAAGTGAGATTTCTGATGTATTTTCCCTGTTTGTTTTCCAAAAATAAGTCATCAGTTG